ACCACCAAAATCACAATCACCAAATGCAAGAAAGAATACAAAGCTAATGGAGAAAAAAATGAAACAACAAAGTTGAAGAGAAAAAAAAAATTTCAGAAAAGGGTTAAATAAAGAAGACAGGCAAAAATCAGACACAGGAATAATCATAGTTTCAAGGAAAGGATCCAGTGATACTGAACAAAAAAACTACATTCTAATAACGGAAGGCTTCAATTGACACATGTACAGGTATTCTGTGTAAGTGGCAATATGAACCCCAAATAGTCTGTGATGATTCATATCCAAGAGAAACTTTGTAATTTGAAGCAACCAGATTGCTTGAACAGTGACAAAATGTTTGTTTAAAATAGGTGCCTTTAATTCAAGACACATGATGCATTAGAGTTAGTGATAGTAATACACTGTACCATAGAACACCAGAACTTATTCTGCATATCTAACTCTTATGTTATTTCTGTAAGCCAACCTCTTGCCACTCTTCCCTACCCTCCTGAGGGTGAACACTGTTCTGATCTCTTGTCATTGAGATTGACTCTTCTAGATTCTCCTTATGAGTTAAAGATATGGTATGGGTCTTTGTGCCTGGTTTAATTCACTTATAATGTCATATGTTAACTAGACTTATGACATAAGTCTATCCATATGTCCATCAATGACAGAATGAATGCTTTTTATGACTGAATAGATGCGCTTTTTTTCTGTACCCCACTTTTTTCTGCATTCATCAGTTGATAAACATTCAGTTACCAGAGAAAACAGACTGAACCACATGTCTCAGGAAATTCATTGACAGTAAAGAGTAAATGAAATGTTATAAAGTTACTCATAAAAATACATGTAAGTCAAAAATTTTTTATCCAGCCAAGCTTTCCATCAATTCTCCAGAGAGAATTATGAACAGAGAGAACTGAAGGCTCTCACTTGCTGTTCTGGATAAATCCACTAGGGGACAGACTTGAGTCAAGCACTTTCACTCTCCCTGTGGATAATACAGTTCTACCTGGGTGGATATAAAGGCCTCATGATTGGAGTGTCTGAAGAGGTGAAATGACATGGTGACTTAGAGCATGCTGGAATCAGATGCCATGAGATTTGAATCCCCACCTCACATATGACCAGTTGTAACATCTTGGCAAGTTTGCTTAACTTTGTAAGGCTTGGTTTCACTATATAAACTGAATTTCTACCTTTCCACAACTTATGGTCTTTGGGTGTTTTCTTATATGGTAGAATAATCACTTTTGAATAATTTTTATTATCATGATTAGTTCTACAACAAGGACAGCATTTCTAACATTACTAATGACTTAGGATAATGATTTTGTTCAGTGGCAGAAAAGAGAATCAAATTCTGATGTATCCGACCTGAGGAGTCATCCAACTAAACCTACTCTGCCCATAAGTATCAATATTTTATTTATGTTTCTCCATGAGCAACTGATAATGTCCTACACCTGCAATGAACATGAACACATTGGCAACAATTATGCCAGCAGCCTATGGACAAAGCTTTTTCCACTTAAACTCAGAGAGGGCAACAATCATTCTTCTTGATAGCTCAGTAGCTGCCTTTTTTTTTTTTTTTTTTTTTTTTTTTTTTTTTTTTTTTTTGCCTAAATGCTCTCTCTGCATTACATCTCAAATTCTTTACACAAAACCTACAAGGAAGGCCTGGTCTTCTTCCATTCAACAAATGGTGGTTGAGTTGTGCTATTTTTCAGGCAATGTTTTACTTTACTGGGGATAAAGAGTTATATGAAGCAAAGTCCCCACCATCCCAGAATATACAGTTGTAGTTGAGGAGAAAGGTATAAACTCACACATTCACAGATGTGTATATAAATGTAGGTGAGGATGTGAATATGGAGTAACAAGTCAGGCAGAGATAATTACTGTGGACTATTAAACCATGGTAAGCGGGGGAGATGGAGTTGTCAGAGTTGCCATGTTAGAGTGATGAGAAGGGACCTTCTGAGCCAGACATGTGGCTTCCCAGAGACCTGAGAAAGGTTGGAAGGGGGGGGAGTTCTGCACCCCGTCTTTCAGCAGTGCTTCCTGGCAGACAGAGCCCAAGTGTAAATGGCCTGAGGTCTGATGGGGTTTGGTATGTGTGTGGGTTGACAGGAAGGCTGCCTGGTTGGCTGCTCAGCTCTAGGGGCATTTTGTATTGGCAGCCCTAGCTGACTAACACAGTTTCCAGAATATTCTCTCTTACCTACATTATTCAACTTTTATATGTGACAAAACTTAACCAGATGGTGGTAGCACAGGCTGCTTTGTATCTCAGGTACTATAGAAAGGCCAGTGTTTGAGGCCAGCCTGGGCAATGTAATGAGACTCTGTCTCCAAAAAAAAAAAAATACAAATAATGCTGAGAATGTAACTCTGGTAGTTACATTCTGCCAGTACAAGGCACAAAACCCTGGGATTAATCACCAGTAATGAAAAATAAAATAAAGTCACAAACTCCCATGAAGGTTAAACACCTGTTTTTTTCCTTCTGCCATAAGCCTATGAGCAAAGATATCAAATAACCCCTGTGTCAGAGAGTCCATTAGCTAATGTGCCCACTAGAAAGGGCAAAGGCAAGGATTTGAAGGACAGTCCATCTGATGATAATGCTCACATGTTCTCCATGTCCAGAGCTGGATTGCAAGTTGGTATTCTAAATGGAAACCCAGTGCAAGTCTATTCAGTTTCTCAGATGATAAAAAAATAAGTGAGCCCTGCAGGATTCCTCTCTGTCAGAATAAAAGGCAGTTTTCACTGGCCTGTGAGTGGTGCTTTCATGTGGAAGCTTTGAACTGCATGTGCTGCTCAGTCACTTGGCAGGTTGATGAACTTGGGACTTTACTTTCAATCATACCCACCCAGGACTGTTGGCTACAATCCAGTTATGGTTCTGAAAATCATTTTTTCACAGATGGCCAAGCACCTTCGTACATGATAACTGTTAAGTTGAGCAGTAAAGGAATAATGGGTTCTCTCTTATGTCTACCCCAGTGCATCCAGAAGGTAGGGTGTCCTGGCTTCTGCTCACAGTGTCCTGGACCTGTGATTAGTGTACAGCATGGGCAGATCTCTAGAACCAACATTTCCATATTTATCACAACTTCCATACCTCATGGACATTCAAGGATATAACTGCCCATTATCTTTGGGAGACATCATGGCTAGAATTAAGAACATTAAGAGAGTATTCAGGAATGAAGGAAGAATAGGCAAACAAGTCAAAGATGGACTATCTCACTTAATAAATAACAGGAGATCAACTACTTGCCACAAGTATTACTTTGAAATGAGAGATACTGAAAGACCACTTCCATTCCCCTGGATGTGTGCATCTTGGATTGTAATTGTTCTGGATCCCGTATTGTTTTGGGATGGAAAAATAGTAACTCGGAATTAACTGAAAGAAGAAAAACATGCATCATCCCTTGGGCTCTCAGCTGGATTCTTCTAGCCCAAATATTTTTTGGCTCAGGCAGCAAAAATAACTCCAAAGTCACTCATTTAGCGAGTAAAAGAATTTGAGTGATTTCTGTCTTTGGGATGGGTATTCCTTGTCTTCTACTCATGTAGACTGACTTGGTCCACAGTAAACACTAAATCAGTGTTTTCAATTGGATGAAGGCACAGTCCCCGTGACCCTAAAGAAACCAGGCTTCCTAGGAATGCTCAGGCTGTAGGGCCTCGCTCACCATGCGGTGGAGGACACCAGGGACTGGACTTGGAGCTCTGCATGCCTCCTTGCTCTCCACCTCCAGGATAGACCCTTAGGCTCACAAATGATGCTGCCATTCTGAGCCTCAGCTTCCCGAGAGAAACTAGGGGTGCAGTTCACATGGGAGGATATCATGCTGAGATTTTTAGGAGCTCATGTGTGCAGAGCATGGATGCCACCCTGGGGCTCACTCATGACTGACGGGAATCCCCCTTACCCACTGAGACCCTGGAGGCTTGTGAAGACCATCTGTTAATAAGAGCATATGGGTTGGAAGTCTTGGGTTCTCCAGTTTCCTTGCCTTTATCAAAGTTCTCCATTTCTGCTCTATACATGGTGGGATATGAAGCATAACTGGAAAAATGTCTGAGAAGATCTCAGTATCGGTGGAACAGTGACTGATAGCTGCCTCCCCCTTGAATGGACAGAAAGCCTGGCCTCAGAGACTCTCTGTTCTTCATGTTGAATGGTCTTGAGTCGCAGCAGGCAACTGCACTCAAGATGCCCACCTCTGTATGGGGACTCACCGTTCCAAGTCTCTCTCCTCTTCTTTATCCCCTCTTCAACACTCCAACTTCTGTCTCATGGTCTTCCCTATTCTGTTGTGTCATATGGCTCCAGAGATGGTGACATGGGGAACGAATTCCAAAGTCCACCAAGCACACACCAGGAACTGGGATTAAGATGGTCCTCTCCTTGTGCTCAGTGGCAACAGACCGCAGGCTTGGCTCTCTGACCTTTACCTGCTCAGCGGACTTCACTCGCCTTTCCCATTCTACCAAGCTCTCTTCTCATTTCAAAAGTAATAATCAAGGGATAAAATGATGTGAAGTGGATATGAAAGTGCTGGGCACACTATACCACAGTGACCCCCGGAGGGCTTGCGACAAGGCAGGGACCTGCACCACCAGAGTTTCAGCAGGTACACTGAGGGACTGAGGTTTTGCATGTATTACACCCGCCCCTAATTCACACACACACACACACACACACACACACACACACACACACCACTTCCCTACCCCCCAATACCCCCACCCCTACCCCCACCCTGCAAGGGTGACAGTGCTGCTCCAGGGATCAGCTGTCAGGATGCAGCTCTAGAATAGCCTAACATGGATGGTTCCTGATTTTTGAGCACCCTGAGATTCAGGACAAGGAAGAAAATGTGGCAGGGTAGGGGTGAGTGACCAGAGGAGGAGGAGCAGAAAGGCAGAGTATAAACTCGGAGGTGAGGCTCGCCCAGGTGCATGTCCTCTGAGGGCTATCAGAGGCGATGAGGCACCTGGTGGTCTGGGTGCTGCTGGCTGTCTGCTTGTGTGGCCTGGATGCAGGTGAGGGGGAGAGGCTGGTGAGGGGTGAGGGGAGAGTCAAGAGCAAGAGCAAAATCAATTGTCCACAGAAACTTTACCTTTCAGTGCTGGGTGGCAGCTGGTGACAAGGGAAGCCCTGAAAAACCTTGTTCCAGCTCCTGGTACTTCCTGGTTGGATGATCTCAGAACACATTTCTTTCCCTTTAATTGAGCCTCAAAATTCTCATCTATATAGTACTAAAATCTTAGAGGGAAACAATTTAGTATTGTTCTGTTGGTAAAGAAGCAAGTTCAAAAATACAGTCCAGTATGTGGAATAAGCTATTCTTCATGTAGAATAGAGAGTAAAAACTTGTTAACACATGTGCTTGTGAATTCACCAGCTGAATCTGTAGCTTTCAGAAGAATTCCAGGTCTTGCTCGAGGGGGGATGAGGGGTGAAAGGTAACAGAATGGCCACATGACACAGCTATCCCATTCCTTGGTATTTATCCAAAAGAACTGAAGTCAGCATGCTACAGCAAGGTACGCAGAGCTATGTTTATAGCACCAAGATTCACCATAGCCAAGTTAGAGAAGCAGCCCAGGCGTGTGTCGACAGATGATGTAGAGAGAAAATGTAGTCTCTATACGCCATGGAGTTTTATTGGGCCATGAAGGTGAGCAAAATTACATCATTGAAGAAAGATGGAAGATACTGGAGACAATTATGTTAAGAAAAATAAGCCCGTCTCTAACAGGCAGGTTACATGTTCCTCTCATATGCAGAAGCTAGAGAGAAAGAAGGAAATAAAATGGGGGAGTCTCATGAAAATGAGAGGGAGACCCGAGAGTAAAGGAATCAGACCAGGGGGCCAGAGGATGGGAAAGCAAGGGGACTGGGAATGACCTTGATGAAATCGTGTATGGGCACAGTGAACCCCAGTATTCTTTATCATTATCATGTGTCAAAAAAATGGGGAAAATAAAAGAAGATTGATTTTGCTGTCAGGATCAAAATAAAGTCACTCGTGTGAATTCCAACAAAATCAGAAATACAATAAATGAGTAACCCCGGGATGCTGTGAAGGCAGGTTCCCTGGTAACACCAACCATAATGAAAGCCTCTGCCAGAATCATGAACTTCAAAAGGTCACTGCACACCAGCGCACAGGGAAACAGGCTTCAGACAGCACCACTGCCAGTGCCACTGTGTACCCACCCTGCACCAGCACCACAATCTGTGAGTCCAGCTGAGGAGCCCCGCTCTAGACCGCGTACTGCAGCCGTCCCCTGACTGTCTCTAATACCCGCCCCTGCTCCAGATCTTCACATATGCCCACCGGTCCCCATGGCACGTGTGTGGCAATGCTTTCTGGTTCTTCACTGATGTCTCCCATTCTTTGGAGAGTGTCTCGCTGACTGGTATTTATTGTGCCAGAACTACTGGGTTCCAGCAAAGGGGTAGAAATCAGGACATTGGATGAGCTGCATTTTCTCTCACCTACACAAAGGAGGACTGTGGAGACACCCAGCTCATAACTGCATGAAGGGACTTTCCTGGGAGAAGCAGGATCCCCAGTTGGAAATGCTTACAGTCATCCCCGATGGGGTATTGTAGATGCTCCTACCTCGGGAGAACAGTCAGATACGGGAACGTCAGGCTACATTAAATAGCTGTTATTCTGGGAAAAGAGAACATTATGTCGTCTAAATTTTACCTTTTTGTTTTTCTGTTTCAGATTTGATTTCCCATTTAAATCTTCCAATTAAAGGTAGGGAGACCATCTCTATTTTTCAGTATCTTAGATGCTTTTTCCACCCTTTTAACATCATTAGATTCCCAAAAGTTTCTTGCCCTTTGCTGTGACCTCACCATTTCCTGTGTCATTTTCCTCATAGGAAAGTCTGTCCCAGGTCAGAACACCCACATCAGATGGTTGAACATGCCCATCAGTTGCCCATCCAAATCTTTTCTCCTAAGCTTCCAGAAAAATGTTCTCTTCTCCATTGAAAGTGACACCAGCAACTGAATGGGGGAAGGGCTCTTTCTTTTTACTTTCCTTTCAGTGAGCAAGTAATACATTTATATGTTGATGGAGAAGCATGTGATGTTTTGATACAGCTCACATTTTGGTATGATTGAATCAAGATAGTTTTCCTATCCTTCAGCCCACATGTGCCTCAGGTTCTTAATCTGGTGAGAACATCAACCATTGCATGCGATTTCTTGCACTTAGAACCAGGGCCTCAGCAGGCCAGCAGAGGAAGCTGGCTCCCCTGCAGCGCAGGTGGGCTGGGAGCTGCAGGCCAAGCCACTGCTGCAGGCAGGGCAGAATGCTGGGGTAGGAAGCTGGTGGGGGAAGCAGAGAGTGTGGAGGTGTGGGGGGCTCACTCGGGCTACCTAGGAGACACGCCTGTCTAGGAGAGCGGGAGGGGAGAGCAGAGTCAGGAGGACTCAGGGTCAGGCTAAGGGAGTCGGTGTGGTCGCTGGAGGACGGGCATCCTCAGAAAGCCAGCAGCCCCCCTGCACCTGCTCTGTGCAGAGGAAGGCCTCCTTCGACGGTCCCCTCGGATTTTCACCACACACGAAAGGCAGTTAGTAGGACCAACAGGTGGCGGGGCGAGGGAGAGTGAGCCAAGTGCAGATGACCACGCTTGAGTCCATTCCCCCGGGGCTGCCCCGTGCTCCACGTGTGTTCTCTTGCCAGAAATTATTATGCATGAGTGCGCCATTCCATTTATCTATGGTGACGTCGTCTACCACAGCTGCACCACGGTCCGCAGTGACTTTGATTGGTGCTCCCTTGACCACGACTTCCGAGGAAGGTGGCGATACTGCACAGCGACTGGTGAGTTTCCTAAGGTGGGACAGCTTAGTGCCAGCACACAAGGGGTGTTGGGAACAGAGTGCTGCATGGTTGGGGTATCAGGAAGGCCTGAGTTCAAATCCTTGCTTTTCTATATAATTTTCACTGACATTTAAAGACCTTGGCAGAAAATCCTGATGCTCTGTAAGATCAGCAGAGACAATCTGAAGACTGTGTTCACAGCCCCTTCCCCTGCCCCCTCTCTGCAGATCCCCCCAAGTGCACCTTCCCCTTCACATTCAAGCAAAGAACCTTTGAACAATGCACCAAAGAAGACTACGTTTTGAATCGAAGTTGGTGCTCACTGACCAGCAATTACAACACAGACCGAAAGTGGAAGCAATGTTCCCCTCTGCAGTAAGGCGGCCAGGAAGGGTGGGATTGGGGTCTTCTCAAACCCACAGTGTGAGAGCCCTTTGAACTGAGTGGGGGGGACACTTGAGGACTTGCCATGACCTAGAGGAAGGCGCAGTAAATGTTGCCTTTAGAAATATTAAAGACTTAGTAGCCAGAGGTCCCTGACACAATTATTCAACTCTGCCTTAGCAGATCCAAGCAGCCACCAGCCAAAAAAAAAAAATGATAATTCTGAGTAAAATACATCCTGAAATTTCTCATATGAACTTCAGGGGCATAAATGTTAATCACTATTGGCTATTTTTTTAAATTCAAGGTCTGAACCACTTTAAAATAGGAAAGCTATTAGTTCGTGGGTCACACAGAAACAGGTGGCAGGTTGGGTTTAGACTCTGGGAACTCGCAGGCAGGAGCCTGGCTAAATGACAGGTGTTTGACAGGCTTTGACTGAAGGAGGCTAGTGCCATGAAAAGAAGATGAGCAAAAGAAAAACAGAGTATACCTGAGTGGGATAGCACACTCCTGTAATCTCAGCAAATTGGAGGCTGAGGCAGGAGGATCACAAGTTCAAGACCAGCTTCAGCAACTTACCAAGGTCCTAAGCAACTTAGGGAGACCCTATATCTAAAAAGGGGGAAAGGATATGGCTCAGTTATTAAGCATCCTGGGTTCAGTTCCTAGTACAAACACAAAAAAGTAGAAAGAGAAGAGAAAAGAAGAGTTACAGGCTTGGCACTCCACCACTGCAACATACAAATATTACAGTAAAGGGAGTCATAGGAAATATACACAGAGTTGTTTTTACACTATCCTGTGGTCTATTAAGTGTGCAATTGAATTATCTAAAAATGTACATACCTTAATTTAAAATAATTTTTTAAGTGCTAGCAATCACCCAACACAGGGAAACACATGAATAAGCCCAATAACATGGAAGACTGAGGCAGGAGGATTGCACATACGAGGCCAGCCTCAGCAACTTACTGGGACATTCAGGGATGTAGCTGAGTGGCAGAGTGCCTCTGCTGTCTCTACCTAGTACTGAAAAAGTCACTAACAATCATCTTAGCTGTTGGAAACATGACATCTGTAGATTTGCTTCATCCGGGTCACAACAACTTTCAATTTGTAGAAAATAAGAATCTGTGCATCTCCCAAAGCAAACTACAACAACAGAAGCAAAGCCCGTGCATAGAGAGGGTGTGGCTGAGTGGTCAGTGTGCACTGGACGCCAGACCCCAGGCTTCAGGCAGTCTCATCGAACGTTCGCAGTGACCTCAGGAGCTCACGTTAGGAATCATGTGCCTCTAGAAAGGGCAGAAGTGAGGCTTAGGAAGTTTGGGTCACAGCCGAACCTGGGGGTCAAAGCCCATCACCTCAGCGAGGCGTCATCAGAGGCCACTCAGTAACAGGCAGCATCCAACGCGCCCCTCCTCGAGGCTCTCATGGACACCCCTCCGCCCTCTCTGCCCGTGGAACTGCCAATCCTAGGACCCGAGACGGACGCAGAGCCTGAGCACCTTAGCCTGTCAGAGCTCAGAGACGAGGCCCTCACCTAACACAGGCTCCGTGTGGCCGAGTCAGTCTTCCCCGCCACCTCCCGGCTCTGTGCCCACGGGAAACTCCTGCTGCCACTCTGGAAAGGTCCCTGCAGTCGTCATCACAACACTGGTGAAGACACGAGGGGTCCTGTGGGGTGGTCATTCCACTCTAGGCTCAGTCACAGCCCTGCACTCACGGGGACTCTGGGGAGTGATGTGGCCACCCTTCCTGTTGGGTCTCCAGGGACGTCCCAGGGCTCCCTGGGACACAGCGTCAGTGCTTGTGCTGCTTGTACATGCAGAGGGTCCCTGTTCCTCAAACTGGCTTCCTGGGGACTTACTCCTGGGCTCCAGTGCTAGTTCTTCCTGGGCTGCTCGGGAACTTGGCTTCTGGGAGAGGCGCCCAAGCCCCTCTGGTTGTCACACTCAGCCTCAGGCCCCTCATCCATCAGGTGCTTATTCCTGGAAATAGGAGTCAGTGGTGCTGAGCAGAAGCCACCAGTCCCATTAGACTGCTGTTTGCTGGGGGCTTCTCCTGTCCCTGAAGCTCTGCATGAGCCTGTGCCAGCCCTGCCCCAGGACCCATCCCAGTGCCACTCCAGAGAGAATTTTAACAGAACAACACCTGGGAGGGGGCTGTCTGTCTCCCACCAGTGATGGGGTCCCTGTTGCCATCACAGGGTCAGATGATCCAGCTCCAGGTGCTAAACATCATGGGTGGATTCTCAGAAGCCTGTGGGTCATGTCTGCTTTCTCTCCTGGGTCCCTTCTTTCTTTCTGACTGCCTCAATCCAAAAAGCTTTGAAAATACTAATGAAAATAAGTAGCTGTGCAATCATAAAATTAATAGATTCAGAAATCAAGGTAGCTTTGGGGTGAGGGGGAGAGAGTTGGCACCAATCCCTGGAGGCTGAGGTGGACTGTGACCTGACTGTCCCTTGTTCCTGTCTCCACAGCACTTAGGTAATTCTTGGTGCTTTCAAAGGATCAGAAGTTACAGATTCTTCAACCTCTCAAAATGGAATCCTGTCCTTGCAAGTCCTCACCATTCTGATCAATAGCGACTGGCCCACTTTTCTACATGGAGGACTCCTTGTCCTGAAACAATGCACAGCCACAGCCCAGGGGTGACCACTACAACGTGTGTGGGTGGGGACCCAGGCTGGCATTTGTGAGGAGCAGCTTGCACTCAAATCAAGATCCTGTGTCATTTTTGGAAAGTTAACTAAATTCTCAGAGAACTTGAAATCCTCCCACACACCGTTTCAAATATTTTCAATTAAATTATATTGTAGTTTTTTAAATATGGGGGGTACATATCACCTGACACACAATTGACCTTTTAAAAGTGAACAATTCAGTGACATTTAGCACAATCATGGCACTGTCCAGCCCTCACTTCTGTTTACTATGAAAACAGTTTCATCACCTGTAAGGACACCCTGTACCCACTAAGCAGCCACTCCCATCGCCTCCTCCATCCAGCCCTGGGCAGCCTCTCACCTGCTTTGCAAACACAGGGGATTTCCTCTAAAACAATCATGCAATACATGACATTTTGTGCCTGGTTTCTTTCACTCCTTCGAATGGTTTTGGGATCTGTCTGCATTACAGCATGTGTCAGTGCTTTGTTTCTCAGGACTGAATAGTGGTCCATTGTGGGTAGTCACAGCTGGTTTATCCGTGACACACACAGACACATGTATATTAAGATGCATGTTACCTAGGTTAATTCTCATAATGAAACTCTCTATTAACTGATATTAAGAAACAGAACAGAGGCTAAGAATGAGGCAGAGTGGTAGAGCACTTGGTTAGTGGACCTGGGTTGAATCCCCAAAACCACAGAACCAAAAGAAGAAACAGATCCCTTCCAGCCCTCTCCATGCCCCCTCGACCGGGAGGAGCCACTCTGGGGGTCCTGACAACACTGTTGTCTGTACTTCATACCCAGTGAACCCTGCCCGGTGTCTGCTCCCCTGTGGAGTGCTGTGGGGAGGCCCACCCTGGGCTGTGCAGGGCCAGTAGACCCGGCATTCTCGCTCCTGTGGCCTTTACTGCTGTGTGAATGTTTTGTGGCTGTTCATCCGTGTTTCTCTTGGGGGACACTTGGGTGGTCTTCATCAAGGGTCTACGAGAAGCATTGCTATGAACATTTTCTTGCAAGTCTTTGGTGAATGTGCACAGTGAGGGAGGATCGCCGGTCAGAGTGCAAGGATGCTCTGCTCTAATAGCTACTGACACAATATCTTTATTTTATTTTTATGTGGTGCTGAGAATCGAACCCAGTGCCTCTCGCATGCTAGGCGAGCACGCTACTACTTGAGCCACATCCCCAGCCCATAATAGTTACTGACAAACCCTCGGATCATGGAACTGGGAGATGACTCAGGATTTATATTCACCTGTTCCCGTGAGCATGGGACAACCATCTTCATAGTTTGAAATCTTTTGTTAGCTGAACTGTTAGGAGGTGAGGGGGTGATGTCAGACCTTGTGATTATGGTGTGGCAAAGCCCACGTGCAATCAGCGAGGCTGGGGTGGGAGGCTTCCAATCCACATATCTGGGACCTGACTCCTGCTGGTCCCTTGGTGCGGTTGTTTGAGCCAATAAGCTCTCCTTTGTAACCTAAGTGAATTTTATAAGCTTGACTCAAGTTCCCAGCCTTCTCAGAACCTTCCAGATAAACAAGCTGCACATCAGGAGGCAGATGTCCAGGGACGGGTGCAGGCAGAGAGGACAGTAAACCATGTTGTCCCATGAGACCTGGTTTCTTACTCAGATTCAACCCTACCCACTGAGAACCCACAAAGGTCAAGGGCACTTAGAAAATCTTACACAAGATCCACATTCCTGCCATTTGACCTCCTTCCTACCTGAAGCTCATGTGACCTGTGATGCTAACATTTGTGTCCCTGCTGCCAAATTCACATTGAAATCCTACCTCCCAAGGTGACAACAGAAGGAGGCTGGAATTTGGGCAGAGGATGAGGTTCTGAGGGTGGCTAATCCCATCCACCACAGGCCCGAGGATGAACAGATTGGGGGGACCTGGAATAGCACACTTCTGAAGGAAACCCAGAGAGCCCCCCACCTCTCCCACCACATCAGGACACTGCGTGAAGGCCCTGTCTAGGAGCTGGACGCTGGCCCTGTCCAGGTGCCCAACCTGCCTTCATCCCGGACTTTCCAGCCCGGGGAAGTGTGAGAAATGAGGCTTGAGGTTTCAAAGCCACCTTATGGTATGGGGATGGCTTCACTTATAACCACCAAGGGGACTGAAACAAAAAAGGGTGGCTTCCCATCGCTGCCTAAACTCCAAGTGGGACCCATGGGTGAAATACAGACCAATGGCTACTCCCCAAGCTTCGTTTGACACCTATCCCTTCAGGGAATCTCTCACAAAAAATACTTTTTCGGGCTGGGATGTCTCAGTGGTGGAGCACTTGCTTAGCATGCAT